TTAGTTACCTATTTCAAATGAGCGAATCAAAAGGATTTTTTCCTTAATGTTCTCAAGAGAAAGCAATAACAAACATTCGAGACAGAACAATTACTGATATTGCATGGCTTATGTAAATGTATCACAACCACGCTACACCTTATAAATACATATAGTCATGTTCATGTGTTAGTTATACTTTGTTTGAGACAGGGTCTTGCTTTATAACCCAGGCTCAATTTGAACTCGTGACCCTCCTGAGGGCTGGGATTATAGCTTTGTGCCATAGCACTGGGATAAAGGTTATAAGAAAGTACAGAACTACAGAACTCACCCCAAGTGAGATTTATACCAGGGACCCGTCATACTCACGTAAGCTAGGACGTGAAGCCAGAGAGCAGCTGAACACCAGGACAGCTTGTCGCTTAGGCTGCCGGGAAGCCAAGCCATCCATACTGAATGAGAAGCCACTCCAAAACCCACTGCCTCAAAACAAGCACTTAGCTCTTGCTCATCTGCATGCGGGTCAGGATGGACTACAGCCATGGTTCTCAGCCATGGCTCTGTGGGGCTTCAATGTCAGACATCCTGCATATCAGATGTTCACTTTATAATTCTCAGCAGCAGCAGAACCGCAGTTATAAAGCAGCAACAAACTAATGTGGTGGCTGGCGTCACCGCAACATGAGGGACTGTATTAAAGCATCATAGCATTAGGAAGGCTGAGGACCACTGGACCACAGACCGAGTCCATATTTAGTCCATTTATTTCTCACCCTGCAGGGACTAACAGTCACCCAGGACATGCTTTCCTCACAGAGAATGCCAGCAACACAGGAGGCTGAATATCCTGAAGCATCCTATTCTAACATTATATTGCGTAGTGACTTGGCCCAGCTCAAATTCAAAGGACAGGAAAGCACGCTCCACTCACCAAGGAGGCCTAGCAAGGACACAGGTATGGAGGCGAGCTGAGTGACATGACCTGTCACCAGCTGCCGTCCCTCTTGTCCCCTTGTGCAGTCTGCAGCGTCTTCTGCATCTTTACGAATCTCTGGAGTCTGAGTCTCACTGGGGCAAGGCCTCTGCTTTGTCCACTGTGCTATTTTCAGAATGCTGCTTTGTTCGTCTGTCTTTCTAGTACCAAAATACACACACAGTGGACAATAAATGGCTGCCTGGCTGCCCTGGACCTTACCTCAAGCCTTACAAGTTCCATGATGTTGAGTCTAGCACTCCTGAGGCAGCCTCATTTGCCAAGCTTTGCTCAGACATCATTCCCTTTCCCAGGCGTGGTACCCAGGCGTGGTAACAAGGAAGAGTGCAGGCAGCTCGGTGACAGAGGAGAGGACACAGATAGGCAGATACCTTTAAAAACCCTTCATGATCTAATCATGCCTGCCCACAGGCTGCCAGTATTGTACAGTGATGAAGAGGGCTGGCCTTAGGCCCAGGCAAGCCTAGAGAAAATCTGAAGGCAGCTGTGACGCTAACTGTGACGCTAGGCAAGTGTCTAGACACTTGTCATTTTCTCATCTATAAAACGACAAGTGTTCCCTTCTAGAATCACTGTAGAGTAACAAAGACGTCTGTAGACTGGTGGCAACAGGCGCGGTATAGCCTGAACCAGTGGGGACCACTTCCATCATGAGTCTTCAGACCTGTGTGAGCCACGCTCTTCTTCATCCTTATACAGATTCTGTACCAGGTCCAATTAAGTTCTGCTTAGTGGACTGCACCCGAGGTACACAGTCCAGAGTAGCCATGGCTGGTAAGCCAGTACAGATTCCTCCAGGTCTGGGTCCGGAGTCACATAGCCTTTCCCAGAGCTGTGCCCCTTGCCAGATCCTTAAGGTATAAAAAAAAATCACAGCGAAGCTGGTTGCTCTGTGGTGTTGCTCGGTCACGGAGGTCTGCCCACACCTTTGGCTGTGAAATGCACAAGAAATCTAGATGCCTTAGGTTTCACAGATGCTCCCTGGGCTGTCCAAGATGAGATCTAAGCAAATTTGACTCCATAAAAATTAAACTAAGGTATACTAGGTGATTTTATACATGCAGGCTTTGGATTCTGTGAAGACATGCAGTGCAGACAGGTCAACAAATGAACCATAGAACTAAAGCTAGCAGCATCTCCACAAAGGGTCCCCTGGCTTCCTGAGGTTCTCACTATTCTAAGTCAGGCCTGGTCATGAGGATGATGTCTGGCTAGTTTATAGGTTTTACATTAAAAAACCTTCCACGCTTGAGATTCTGATTATTTCTTTCCCCAAGTACTATCCCACCAGACCACTAAAGACCCCCGGTAAGACTGTGTTAATAAGAATACCTATCCGGTGCTAACCACATGCTCAGTTTCCACCTCATGGCAAGAGCCTCCATGCTGACTTTGGTTGGGATAATGAAGCTAATTTTTACCCATTTCTTTTATAGTTATAATAACCATGGTATGAAGTATCTGTGTTGTTTCAATGTCTTCAGCACAAATTGGAGGCAATTACAATCTCCCGAGTTCAAGCTTACAGTTCTATGTGATTTATTTGCCTTTTAAAAATTTCAGTAGAAAAAAAAATAAATTAAATCTCAGTAGGAAATCACAAATACACACAGAATCAGGGGCTGTGATCAGATCCCTGTGATGAGATCCCCAGCGACAGCGACCCATCCGTCACTCCCTTTGCCCACTTCCTTCCTCTGAACACATCAAAGATGACAGAGCATTCAGCTCAGACTCACAGGCGATCATGACAGTTTCCCTTTAAATCTCAGACTAGGAACAAGAAAAATACAGGACGAGGGTAGCCCAGAAAAGCATCTCCCTATTTTCCTTCTGTTGAAACGCCTGCCTTTGAAGAGCTGGCTAACGCGCTGTTGGAGCCCCGATTAAAGCAGGCCTCATGCCCTTAGCTCCAGCAACCTTTCCCGTCACTTTAGCCCTTGAAGACTTTTACCACTGATCATGCTCTCCTTTGATATAATTTATAGACTAAGGATGTTTCCGAGCGTATTAAACCGGTGTGAAGTTTGTATTGCCTCAAAATATCACACCGGAAGAAAGTATAACAGAGTACACAGTAAGGGCCCAGCCAGGGTGCTAGAAGCAGGAAACAGCATGTCAGGGCTTCCTATGTCACGCACTCCCCCCCCCCGCCCCCCCTAACTTGCCCTCTGAGGGTCTTGTGTCCCCATAAAAACGCCATGAAATGTGCAAGCGCGATGGTAAACAAAACCGATAGGTCCAAGTGTTCCATGTGCAGCACACTTCATGTCTTCCTACATGTGAGGAAACAACACCCCCCCCCCCCCCGGGTCTGGACCGTTCTCGACAGTGAGTCCCACGCGCTGCTGAAGCCTCAGGTTAAGCAGTTACGGACTACGTGAGAGCTGGTTGCTAACTAGGAAGCGCATGGCCTGACAGTCTACCAACACAGTTAACTGAGGACAGGCAGATGCAAAGTAAGTCAGCTGCACTGGGGGACGCCCTCATGGTCTCCATCCCTCTCAGGAGGGACACTCTGGCCAACAAACACATCTCTGGACTGGAAACTGTGCAAATTACCCCCACACAGTACAACCTGTGCTTTATCAACACAGACCCCTCAAGGAGAGGCAGGTACAGAGTAAGAGCAGCCCCTCATATTCAAAGACTCTGATGAAAAGGGGGCTTACAGAGCTGGTCTCATGGTGCTTAACTGAGATCCGTTAGCACGGGAGCCGATGCAGACGGAAGGCTCGGTGCCTGGTGGACGGTGCCAACTTCCTCACCAGAGCGAGGAAGCCGCCTGCAGGGAGTCAGGCTGCAGAGGCCATCTTCTTTAAAAGCCACTCAAGCAAATCACGTTCTGAGGCACAAGCACGGGCACTGACACTCAACACCAGCGTCTCCACCTCCATCCGTGAACTGGACTAACTCTCAAGGCAAAATAACTGGGGCGGTTTTAACGAAAATGGCCCCCAAAGAGAGTGGGACTGATGGGAAGTATGGCCTTGTCGGGGTAGGCGTGGCCTTGTCGGGGTAGGCGTGGCCTTGTTGGAGGCAGTGTGTCACTGTAGGGTTGGGCTTTGAGGTCTCCTATGATCCAGCTATTCCACTGTTTCAGTCAACTTCCTGTAACCTCAAGACGAAGGGCTCTCAGCTACTTCTTCAGCATCCTGTTGGCCTGCACACCGCCATGTCCCACTATGAATACGGACTGGACCGCTTAACTGTGCGTGAGCCACCACAATGAAATGTTTTCCTTTATAAGAGTTGCTGTGGTCATGGTGTCTCTTTGCATCAGTAGAAACCTGAACTAAGACAGTAACTAACGTTTCCACATTGCCACTAATAATCTGGAGAAGTCTACACAGCTTGTCAGATGCTCTCAAAACTACTACAGTGAATGACCAGGTTGGCTCTCCAAGCTAGTCACACCTCTTACAGAGTGCAGTGAGGATTAGAACGCTAAATATAACACAGAACAGAGGTCAGGGAAAGCTAGCAGAACTTTCTAGAATGCCTCTTTGTCGCTTCCTTTTCACACAGCTCTCATTGTTACAAATAAGTATGTGCAAAGGCCTGCACAGTGGTCACTGGGACAGGAAAAGGGGACAGTCTGCACTGAGGGTCTCCTCACGTAAGCACAAGACGCATAAAGATATTGAAGGAGCTAATACTAGCAGTTTCTGTTGCTGCAGGTAATTCCACTTCTAATGGACACAAAGTTTTCATATAGAAGCCAAACCCTTACCTGCTCCAATATCTGAAAAAGAACCCCGGCTTTGCCAAGCTTGAATTTCCTCTTCCTCTACTAAACACCAGTGCCGTATAATCAATGCAAAGGGTAGGGAGGCGACAATGGTGAACTCTGGTGACCAGTGCAAATCAAAGCGGGGATAAATGGGAGCGGGGTGGCGGCGGGGCTGGGGGGATTGGGGGTGGGGACTCATAATCAGGGAAGCATGAAGAAACCATGGCCTGACACGACGATCTAAATTATCTTCCAAATGCCAATTTCAAACCATAGAAAAGAGTTTATTCCTTGGACAGGAGAAACTCAAACGCGAGTCTTAAGCTGAGCCTTCACACTGGGGAAGCTTTCTTCTAGGTCCTCAGCCAGAGTCTTATCAACCTCATGCAGGACTTTCATGAAGGCTTCCACCTGCGAATCACACAAAGAACCACGTCACTGCGGTGGAGGAGAAGGCAGCTTTAAAGATACTGATTGATGGTTAACTACGAAAATCCTGAGGTTTCCAAAGGCAACAGAGGCATGAGCAGATTCTCAGGTGTCAGCCAGGGTACTTCCTGCAGGGTCACCTGAAATACTCTAGTAGTTACTCTACAAGTGACAGACCCTGACCAGTTCCTTTCACTCCTGAGCTGTGAGATCCCACTGCTTTCCTTTTAGGGCAGTATACTGACATTTTATCACAACCCTCCCTGCTGACAAGTTCATTTTCCTAAAAACCATTACTTTGAAATTACCTTCAACAATACATATTGTTATGTGAAGAACTATAAACCATACCCATGAAAAGTAGGCTTGTGGGCCAGGCACGGTGGTGCACGCTTTTAATCCCAGTGCTCAGGAGGAGGAGGGGTGGGAAGAGCTCGATGTGTTCAAGGCCAGCCTGATTTATAGAGCCACCTACAAGTCAGTCAAGGCTAAACAGTAAGGCCCTATCTCACAAGAGAGACAGAAGAAAAATTTGAGCTCATCAGTTAAGAGAACTGGTTATTCTTCTGAAGGACCTGGGTTTAATTCCCGGCACCAACATGGCAGCCCCCACATCAGTAACTCCAGTCGCAGGGGATCCAATAGCCTCTTCTGGCCTTGGCAGGCAATGTACACACACGGTGCACAAATATATATCCAAGGAAAACACTCATACGCACAGAGAGAAAAAAATGAAATCGCAAAAGAACTTTAGTTAAAAAAGTTTAGGCTTCCCCTTACTATTCAGGCTATGCACTTCGTAGCAGGAAGGGCCACTATAAACCATGCTGATTCCTTCCTCTTGAGATCAGAGTTAAAATCGCATTAGCCCATAACTAGAATCACACATACACCGGCCATCTTTCCCACAAGACATTAAATCCATCATTTCTGACAATAGATTGAGCTCCCTGGACATTCACCCTACTCACCATAGGGCTGTAGAGGGGCAGGAGGCTCTGAAATGCACAGGAACATTTCTTTTTACTTAACTGGCCCTCCTTCAGTCCCTGAGCCACAGTTTCCTACAACAAACAAAAGAAAATTGAATAGCAGAAAAGGGAAATGTCTATGCTGCATCTGGCAAACACATAACCATCAGTGTATACAATCACGGCTGGTCCCATCAGCATTTAAAGTCCCCGCACTGAGCTGCCATGAAGTCTTGTGTGCCTTCACACAGCTAATCTCGGTGAAGGCCATCACTCACCCTGCTGCCCGAGCGGGAAGCTGAGACACAGGGAGACGGGGCCAGCCTGCTGAAGGCCTCCCACACCTGCCATCATCCCAGCTCCCTCCCTCCCTCTCCCATTCCCACACCATCCCCGCAGATCACCACCCTTAAGCCAATTCGCTGGCCCCTGGCCTCGGGCCCTCAACCCTACTCATTCGTGCCTGCGGTTTTTGGAAGACTCTTTTCAAACTGATCCTATCACTTGTTTCCTGGAGATTAAATCCAAATTCCTAGAAGCTGGTGTCTAAGAAGTGTCAAGACACGTCCTTGTGTCTTTAATCAACCCACCTTCCTGCTATCTTCCTGTAACTTAAAGATAAAGGAACACATTTGTCTCCCTCCCCCTCCCAAACTAAAGCAATGACAAACATTCTAAAAAACTATCCTGGAGGCAAAATAAAAAAGCTGCTGTGGTGGTTTGAGGGGGCTGGTCCTCATGGGCTCACGCATTTGATGCTTAGACACCAGGGAGCAGCTGGATCGGAAAGGGTTGGGATTAGGAGGCGTGGCATTGCTGGAGTAGGTGCAGCCTTGTTGGAGGAAGTGTGTCACTGTGGGCTTTGAGGTTTCAAAAACCCATACCAGGTATGGCGCACGCCTTTAGTCCCAGCACTCGGGAGGCAGACATAGGTGGATCTCTGGGAGTTTGAGGACAGCCTGGTTTACAGAGAGAGTTCCAAGACGGGCTCCAAAGCTACACAGAGAAACCCTGCCTCAAAAAAAACAAAAACAAAAAAGAAAAAACCCCAAAAAACAAAGCAGGGTGAGGCTGCAGTTCAGAGGGGCAGCACTTGCCTACCATGTGTAAGACCCCAGGCCCCAAGGGAGGAGAACATAACGGAGCCGAGCACACACGTGGTACAGTGTCTGCGTGGCCGCTACGTCCTGGCCACCTCTCCATCCCTGGGATGTCAGCTGTACCGCAGCACAGCTGCTCCTTCCGTAGAAGCTCTGTCAAGCAATCCATACCTTTTACGGCCACGTGGTGATGGTGCACATCTCTGATCTCCAGTACTGGAGAGACAGAGGCAGGAGGATCTCTGTGAGTTCGAGGCCAGCCTGGTCTACACAGTGAGTTCCAAGACAGCTAGGGCTGTTACATACAGAAACGCTGTCTCAACACACACACACACACACACACACAAAAAAAAAAAAAAAAAAAAAAAAAAAAAAAAAAGAAAAACAAAACAAAACAAAAAACCAAACCACCAATACTTATTTCGTACCTTGGTTAATGCCTGAAAAATATTAGAAAGGTATTCACATGAAATATCCTTCAGGATCTTCATATGGAAGTCATCATCTTGGGTTGAGTCATAGTTTGTAGGCTCTTCTGTGGAGTTCTCTGGTTTCTTCTGACAATGTTCCATATTTTGTAACACCCGAATTAGGCTGTCAATTAGAGCAAGATCCACTGTACCAAATCAAGAGAATGAAACCAGCCAGATAAGTATTCCTTCTTTGTTTGTTCATTCGTCCGTCCATCCATCCATCCATCCATCCATCCATCCATCCATCCATCCATCCATCCATCATCCATCCATCCATCCATCCACTCACACTGAACTAGTGCTACCTATGATTTAGGGACCACAGGCAGAGTGGTTTCTGCTTCTAGTTCCCGCTGTGACGTCCATCAACGATGGTCTGTAACCTAAGGTCAAATAAACTGCTTCCCCACATCCAAGTTGGTTTTGGTCAGTGTTGTATCACAGCAACATACAGAGCTGGAATAATCCCCCCGCCACACCACAGAACTCCTCTGAAAGCAGGGAGAGAGTTATCAGTGAGCTAAGGAGAGAGCTAAATGTGACAGGCGTTAACAAGGATGTCCATGTTCTGCCCAACATAAGCACCACATGAAGTCTGGGCGGCACAGCAGCTGGCAGTGAGACCCAGTCCTACGCCAGCAACAAGGGGACGCTGGTCCCACACAGAAAGACTCCCCACGGGACTACAAGGATCACACACAACAGCAGGCAGCACTCGCTGACCCAACTGCACGAAAACCAAGACCAAGATAAACACGTCTGCACTAAGAGATAAGGACGCCCTCGCTTTTCACATCAAAGCAAGTCCAAGAGATCTCCGAGGGTTAGGGGATGAGCGGCTTCACAGCTGACACCATGACATCTGCAGTCTTAGCTCAGCCCTCCCTCCAGCTCCCGACGCAAACCGCCCCTAGTCACCTCCACCCCGACACCCCGAGCAGCACGTTTAAAGGCAGTCGTCCTTGTCTCAGTAAGGGGCAGCCCTCGGGACAGATACACCAGAGACCCTTCCCTTCTACCCAGCCCCGCTCTCCCAGTCTCTAAAATGAACAGTCTGGTAGAACCCTCCGCATCTCTACAGTCCCATGCATGATCAAAGCCAGAGCACGGCTCGTCTAGAGCGTCACAGCCTGGCACCTCTTCTCCCTTTTACCCATGGTTCCCTGCATTTACTAGCCCATGGCCGTCTGTAGGCAGCCATATCTGTCCAATGTGTCTCACACTGAGTAGGCCCTGCCCTCCGCCCTCTGGCGGCTGCAATGCTTTTCTTCCTTTTTTCTCACAGGCCACCGCGGTCATCCAGAGCCCCAACCCTGCCCCTCCACGGTGCTCCGTGCTCTTACGTGTGCCAGTCTCCACCCGCGCTTCCTCCCAAGTATTCACGAGGCAGCATCCACCAACCGCCTCAGGCTGTACTCAGTGCCTCTTTGTCAGTGAGGCGACCTCTCCATAAATACAGAATCAACACTCAGAGACAAACAAAATACTCAAATAAAACAAAATACTCAAGAAGAGGAAGGAGATCAAAACATCCATGAGAGATAACAATAAGCACCTTATGCCCCAGAACACTAAATGTAAAACTATGGCGCCATTCCCAACAGTCAGGAAGAACATACGATGTCTTCAGCAGTTATTTTAAACAGCAGACAATCAGCAATCCAATTAGATAAGGAAAAGAAGTCAGAGATAGAAAAATGGCAAAAGTAGATGTGACTTAATAGCAGATAAAGTTCAGGATTATCATGGGGACTACCACTAAGGACACTAAGACAAAAGTTGGAGAGATGGTTCAGTGTTTGGTTAGGAATACTGTCTACTCTTCGAGAGGCCCTGGGTCCAAATCCCATCACCCATATGTTGGCTCATAGGCCTTTATAATCCTCGTCCCAGGGCATCCAACAGCTGATGGGGGATGTCTTTCTGTATATATGTTTCTCTTATTGGTTGATGAATACAACACTGTGGCCAATGAGGTAGGAAGACAGGTGGGTCTAGGAGACAAGGAGAATTCTGGGAAAGGTAGGCAGAAGGAGTTGTCATGTAGAGCCCAGGAAGAGAGGATGCGCAGGGCGTTCTCTGGTAAGCCAAGACCACGTGGAGATACTTAGATTAATAGAAATGGGTTAATAATTAAGACAGAACTAGCCAATAAGAAGCCCAAGCCACTGGCCAACAGTTTTATAATTAATATAGCATCTGTGTGTTTATTTGGGGCTCAAGAGCCATGGGACCAGCCAGGACAGAAAGCTCATACAACAACAGCTTTTTCTGATCTGTGTGCATTCAGGCAAAACACCCATACACATCAAATAAATATAATTTGAGAACAATACGACAGGAATGTGGATATAGCTTGGTGACAGGAATCCTGCCTACATGGGCAAAGCCCTGGGTCCAACCCCAAGCACAGCAAAAACAAACTACAAGCAAGTCAATAAAGGTGCTGCAATCAAAGTTAACACACAGATACACAGCCTCCATAAAGTCCAACAATCATCAGTGGAATAAAGTGTTAGACAGAGGCAGCAATTCAAAAAGATAAAATGTGCAAGATCTGTAGGAGAAAAAGCCTCAAGCCACCCACACAATGCCTTCCCAGATGTGCCACACTCAACAAAATCCCAGTGAAAGCTCCGGGAACCACATGGGGCTTTGCACTTTTGACCCTAATCCGGCACTAAACAAGTCAAACAGTCAAAAGCACGGAGACATTCGACCGAAGAGAGACTGTCTGTTCCCACTGGGAACTGAAACACCAGCATTACCACTAACCTGATCTGCAGACTGATCAAACTTTACAGAGTGTTCCTGTAAACACTGACTGAACCAGGGGTACCCCACTACTGAGCTGTACCCCAAGCCTTGATGCCTTTCAATAAACTTTATAGTATTTTTGTATTAAGCATCTAGTATGCTATGTTACTAGGGGAATAAGGGTATTTTCTTTTTAAATGGGAGAAAAACAAAAAAAAGGAAACCCAACGAAGAGTACGCAATGGCCCGGCACTTGCAATCTGGTGGGCGCGGTTTCGTCCCTGAGCGGGAAGTGCACTTGCCTTCTTCTCTCTTCAGGGGTTCCAGTCCGGCCCATGAAGCACTGATGGCAGACAGCACCGAGAAGACAGAGGCCAGCACTGTCTTCTGCTCCTGCAGTATGATGGGAGGGTCACCAGCTTGGCAGAATTCATGGCACACCAGGTCAAAGAGTAAGTCCCACGCGTCTTTTCCAGTAGCGGGACACTGCACTTAAGGAGTATTTTTTACAAGGAGCAATTTAAAAACAGCGAACACTTCGATGAGCAACTGCAGTGTCTTCCAAGAAACCGGCTTACCAATTGCCTGAACTCCGTCATCCACTGTGGTGAGGAGCTGCAAGATGTGCATGTAAACGTCCAGCCCGTCCGGGTTTTCAGACCTGAGCAGACAGAAACGGCAGACGCACTCTTAACTTCCCCGTCTAGAGAACAGCTGTCAATCATTCATCCACCCAGCAGATGTCTGCTACCTTGTACTACAGTGTACAATGTGAGCCGTCAACTGAATAGCCTGCTCGCGAGCGTTAAACGGGGAAAACAGATGTGTGTGTACATGTGAGTGTGTGAGAGGGCGATGCATGCGAGGGAACGGATGGAGTGTGCCTGGGTGTATGCACATCTGTGTGTGAATGTGTGCTTACATGCGAGTGTGTGTGTGTGAACGAGTACGTGAGTGTATGTGTAAGCGTGTGTGCATCTACATATGTGTGATACTGATACTTCTACTGGAGAGACGACAGGCCTGCAGCGCAGACTCCGTGGTACGGATGCTGCCATGGGACGAGGGGCCTGCAGCGCAGACTCCGTGGTACGGATGCTGCTATGGTAGAGACGAGGGGCCTGCAGCGCAGACTCCGTGGTACGGATGCTGCTATGGGACGAGGGGCCTGCAGCGCAGACTCCGTGGTACGGATGCTGCTATGGGACGAGGGGCCTGCAGCGCAGACTCCGTGGTACGGATGCTGCCATGGGACGAGGGGCCTGCAGCGCAGACTCCGTGGTACGGATGCTGCCATGGGACGAGGGGCCTGCAGCGCAGACTCCGTGGTACGGATGCTGCTATGGGACGACAGGCCTGCAGCGCAGACTCCGTGGTACGGATGCTCTTTACACTTCACAGATCATACTAGGCCCCCTTGCTGAGAAGACTAGGATCAAAAAAACCTATTCTTTCCCTCAACATTTTTTTTTTTTTAATCCTTAGAACTCAAAATGCTGTTTCTTCAACCAAACAATGAAGTGAAAAGAGTGAACACCAAAAGGCTCAGCTGTGTTGACTTAAGGATCTGTCATTTCCGGGCACTTAACGCCAGGGGCTGGGGAGAGAGCGTATGCATTGAGATATCACAGCCACCTTCACAGAGTGTAAGTCTGCGAGAAAAGAAGGCGATCAAAGGGGCAGGTACCGTAAAATGTCATGAAGCCAACACTAGAAGCCGGGCACTAAAAGGCCACACACACATTTCATGAGGGAAGAGATGGGAAGAGGTGTTTCCACAGCAATCTGAAAAGACAGCTGCTGTGGAACCGGGAGACACCCTGTGCGAAGGCTCGGAGGCGAGAGGCCTGCTTCATCTGCAGAGCAGAGTCCCACATAGCCGAGGCAAGAACAAGGGTGGGCGGGCCTGGTGTGGACGCGCGCGTGTCTTTCAAAACCCAAGCCATTTCCTGTGGAGGGCAACGGCAAAGCCTGGAGGGCGGAAGCAAGATGGGCATGCGCCACCGGGGCAGCTGCAAGGCTGAGGTTCGGGAAGGGCCAGCCAGAGGGCAGGCAGCTCAGAGGGTAGGGAGCGTGGCACTGGTTCAAGCTCAGAGGCTGACTGGCCGTGAGGGAAGGCCGGACAGGGAGGGGTCAGTAAGGGCTTCCTGGTTCTTCTACCTTCTCCAGATGGGGTACCGGCAGCACCGCTGACTGACTTGGGAATATTGAAGGAGATATGTGATAGAAGATATCAAAGTAATAGCTTTTAACATTGCCTACTAGGTTCTGAGGCTGTGCTGCTAACAACTAAGCAGGTAATTCCAGTGTTAATCTTACAGCCATTAGTGATAAACTGTCTTAACAACCATGCCTGTCATGAGACACCAAAGGCCCCAAGCCCATCATCTACACAGACTGGCACATAGGCACGGTGGAGCCTTTCATACTCAAGTGTAAAATGAAATAAGAAAATCTTTTCCCTTTGATTGTTTAAAATACATAAAGTTGCTGTCAGTTCCCACAGCAAGCTAAAGCCTCATGACCAGGCCACACTGGAGCAAATGCTCTGAGCCCTTGTAATCCCTTCAGAGAACTATTTTGCCGCCACAACCTACGAGAGACTGGCTGCATACGGAAACTAAGACTCTTCCACCTAAGGATGTTTCGAACAACTGAATTTTTCCAGAACATTCTACACAAGAGGTCACCTACCGTACTTGCTTGGCAGCTTCCAGCACACAGGGTACAATCGAAAACACTGGCTGCTCTTCAGAGTCCTCTTGGGGTTGGTCTGGAAGTCGGGCAGTCCCATTTCTAATCCACTCCAGCATGAGTTTTTCGTCCATGTCAAAGAGCTTGTCCACGACCTCCCCCACCTTCACCAGCAAGTCAACTGCAGTGAAGACAGGTGTTCAATTGAGAACCAGATCTGACGCTACAAGGCCGAAGCCCAACTCCTCAAGCTGCTCTGCGAGCCAAATCTGCCAAGGTGTCCCTTCCCACCAGGGCGTCTCCATCCAGGAGCCTGTTTAAACTGGCTTATCTTCCTTCAGTGCAAAGTGCTTTCCTGGGTGGGGGCTGAAGAGATGGCCAAGCCATTAAGAGTACTTGCTGCTACTCTAGACCACCCAGGTTTGATTCTCAGCACCCACACAGCAAGGAGCTCCCAACTGGAACCCCAGTCCCAGGGCACCTGACATCCCCTGCTGGCCTCTGCGGGCACCAGGCACATACCAGCATGCAAGAAATGCACAGATACAAGCAGGCAAACATCCGTGAATTTTAAAACAAGGAAAACATAAAAATGTAAAAACTCAGATGGGCTGCAGCCTTTCTCCCAAGGTCACGCGGTGACTTACCGTTTGTTGAACTTGACATGATGAAGCAAACACTACTGTAAATAGATGGATGCTCCCGGATCCTTTCAACCCAGACACTGGCCACTTTTGTCTGGGAAAGGCAAGTAAGCAACAACCTACATGACAAACGTGAGCTCAATATCTACTAAAAAACAGCAAAGGCCACCAACAGTCCAGAAGTCACCGTGTGCTTTCCCAGGCCCCCTGTTGAGGGTTTAGGGAACCCATGAAGAGAAGGCTTACCTGCTGGTTTCTAGCAGAGTGGGTGGGTCCGAGTCGCACAAACACTGCAGAAGCACCTGTCTGTGGCGCCACAGAGAGTCATGAGCATCATTGCAAATAATCAGTTTTCCTTTCATTTTAAACAGCGTTTTTGTAAGATGAAGCATGAATGCAGTTCATGAAGTCTAGAGCCGTGGTTCACTACCTTTCTAATGCTGCGACCCTTTAACACAGTTCCTCATGTGGGGGTGACCCCCAATCACAAAATTGTTTCATTGCTACCTCATAACTGCAATTTCACTGTTGTTATGAACTGTGATGCCAATAGCTGAAATGCAATCCCTCCCCAGAAGAGATCACGGCCCACAGGTTGAGAACCACTATTTTAGAGCAAACACGCATGTTTCTAAGGAACAGAGCAGGATTGCCCATCTGTAGCTCTCTTTGCCATTAGAGTATCTGTCTCCAAACCACAATCCTCTCCCACCTAGAAAAGGTGACCCTGACATCATCCCCTTTGCTCTGTTCTGTAGCTTTGTTACTACATTTCTGACTTTGCATTTTATTTCATATGAAAGCAGCTATGGTTTTTCCTTAAAATATCTTTCAGTTGTCTGCACATCTTTTTATGTTTTTAATTACTGTTCACATGTTCTTTGATTCATCGTGGAACAGCCTGTGTGTGGATGTAATAGAAGCAATTCAAGCCGGGCGGTGGTGGTGCCTGCCTTTAATCCCAGCACTCGGGAGGCAGAGGCAGGTGGATCTCTGTGAGTTCAAGGCCAGCCTGGTCAACAGAGCGAGTTCCAGGACAGGCTCCAAAGCAATACAGAGAAACTCTGTCTTGAAAATCAAAAACCAAACAACAACAAAAATTCAAGAATCCCAGGTCCTTGACGTCAGGGATAAACCCTTATGACCCTCTGATAAGAACAATCGCTTTGATGTATGCTGGACACAGACTTCTTTAAGATCCTAAGCTAACAGCCATGAACCATCACCAAGAAAATGAACATGCCCATCAAATTTATCATGTTCTCAGATCTACCAACCACCTGAGACCCCACTATTAAAAAGTCCTCTGCCCAAAGCTTTTTGGCTTTAGACGGGAACTAGCCTCTAGGCTTGTCTACTAGTTTTTAACCCCAGAGGTAACTCTTTTTTGTTTGTTTGTTTTTTGAGACCTTTTCTCTCTGTAGCTTCGGAGCCTGTCATTGCACTCGCTCTGTAGACCAGGCTGGCCTGGAACTCACAGGTCCATCCGCCTGCCTCTTCCTCCTGAGTGCCGGGACTAAAAGCATGTGTCACCACCGCCCAGCTCCAGAGGCAACTTTTTATCTTGTAGTCTGTGGGCAAGTCCCACTCCCCTAACTAAGTCAAAGTTATCAGAGCACTGTTCAGCAATCGAGTTTCCCAGACTAGTTCCGATTCCTTGGATTTCCCATCCTTAAATTGTTCTGGATTCTGGCCAGTGGCCCCTAGCTCCAAGTTAGGCTCTACATATTCTTTGCCTGGCCCACTTACTGGATGCCATGACTCATGCCTTACCATGGATACACAGGCCCAGTCCTGAGTCGCGCCCATAGCTAGCCGTACAAGCCTCAGCCACATTAACATAAGGTGTCCTGAGACAACGAAACACACCCCACACTCCACGCGTCCGCCTCTCCTGGGACCCGCCCTGAGAAGCACGGCTATCAGGTAGTAGGACTTACCCATGGTCCTTGCAGCTGCTGATGGACGTGCATATCTCCTGGAAGCAGGCCATATTCCCTAAAATCCCCACACAGATTTCCTGTCAAATCAAATAACACAGGTCACAATGGCTGCGAGGTAAAAGCCACAAAGAACAATAACTTGAATACAAATGTGTACTGAACCAACTTTGAGGGGAGGAAAGGGGAGGCAGAGTATCAAAGTTTACAGCCGGCATCCAGATTTATATACTTACTTGGCTTGTACAACTCACAAAGTTGAGATGGAATAAAAGAAACAAGAAGGTCCAAAGCAGAAGGCGCAGATGAAGAGAGGTTATGGTAGAAAGGGCTCTTAACACAGGTGACTGATGGAGAGTGACTGATGGAGAGGGCCAGGGTGGAAAGGGGCTGACTGTCATGCTCAAGAGTTTAGGCTGAAGATGGGATGGCACCTAGACCATGAAGGTTCTCAAACAGGGAACTGAAAGGGGTAAAAAACTAAAGGGACCAGACCATCACTCCGCCGCCTGCTTTAGCAGCCATGACAGCCTACAGAAAAAGACATGTAAGCCTCTGATTCAGCACACAACACAAAGAAAGTCCAGACCCCCTGGCCTCCCGGAGCCTAGGGCCAAAACGGAACAGAAAGAAACTCCAGACCCTGCGCTCCCCTCCCCCCCACCCAGAAGCTTGGTTCCTGGGAACTGTTTGGCCACAAAAGAAACTCCAGGGGAGACCAAAACCTCCCTATAGTCTCCAGGACACAGTTCTCAAAACTACTGATATCTATGAACAACAGGCCACCTGCAAGTAACAAGACAAAGCCACAGAAACCACAGAATGTTCCCTCTCAGCACTGACCAATGAGAATAATTGGTGCACAGGTATTTCATGCTCCACGATGACTGTGAGGAATTCCCCAGGTTGTTCCCCGACTGTCAACCAATCAGAAACCAAGCCGTACCTGCTGATGTAATCCTGTGACTTTTGCCCTTAAAACCGACAGCAGACAGGGAACTCGCTCCCTCTGGCGGCTGCTGCGTCAGCCAGCCAGAAGAGGTCCCTGTCATGGTTGGATGAACAATAAGTGATGCACTTGCATCATGGGCCTGTCTCTCCCTGGTGGCCTTTGGGGATCCTCACAACGTTGTCCACGCATCACTGCACACAGTAATTACAAGAGGGGACTGTGCTGTCTCCACTTTCAAATGAGGGAACTGAAGTCCAGGGAGTCAAGAAACTTGCCTAAGATCTCCCGCTGTTACGAGCCAGGGTACTCTGCCCAAGAACACATGACTGCTATCATCAACGGGGCTGATGGCAGGCACACAGAGCTGCAGACACTAAGCGGGATGGCAAACAGTCTCTTAGAAGGCGAAGAGACAGTGTAAGGCGCAGCTCACAGGTTTGGAGTTGCCTTGGTTTCCCAGTCAGAAGTATCAGTCCTATCATAACAGGAAACATTACGATGAAAGGACACAGTGTATTCCTGCATAACAGGGTCTCCAGACTTGCGGGGACACAGTACTCAGGGAGTCTGTCAGCAGTTCCCAACTCCCATCGACCCCACTGAATCAGAGTCTCCAGGGGTCAACGTCTGGAGCTGGTGCTTACCGAGCGCACCAGGAGATTTCACCGTCAGCGTGGTGTCACTGAGTTAGAAGAGAGGATACGGGTTAGAAAATATGCGTGCAGGTCGAAAATTCCTGAAAAAAGTTGGAAGTGACACCAGTTACCAAAATGGGAGCTGGGGCTTGTGGCATTGGCCGGAGAGAGCCGTGGCCTGAGAGAGAGAGAGAGAGAGAAAGAGAGAGATGAAGCTAAGCTGTGGCGGCATGCGCCCATTACCCAGCACTTGGAAGGTCCCGATGGGGACCCCCTCCCATCGTAAGCCTGCCAGGCCTCCCTGCAGAAGTGACTGAAAAGACGTCAGGCACAGGAAGACATCGGGAGGGACAAAAGCAGGTAAGAGTAAGAGAGGAACAGAAGAGAGCTTTAGTAAAACACCAGTGGGTCAAACACTGTGAAAAGCACAAGCGACTCTGGTACTATGTCCACATCCTCTTATAAGCCAGAGAGGGGAGGCATGACCTTTCTGCTGGAGACCACCTCCTGTGAAGGCTGCTCATGAGGATCTCTGGAAGATGCCAAAAACTATCAGACTCCCACATAGGGAGATGTGGCCTGCCTTTTGCAGGTCCTCCAGGACAGGGCTCTGGAAAAGCGCATGGTTGAGGTCTAAAGTACTGACATCACCCGGGAACACAGTGGGCGTGGGGTCCTGCCTGCCCTGCCCTGCCCTACTGGACCAGACACTCTTGAGGTGGGCTTGGTACCAGTGATCTGGGACGTGGTGACATTTAAGACTGGTGGCCTAGTGATTCCATCATATGGCCAAAGCTGAGAACCACTGTTGTAGCAGGCTGTGGCCAGGACACATTTCCAGCAGTGTAGCTAATTCCTGAACTAATCATGACTCATATAAAAAAAATTATAAAATCAGGGAAGGAATGCCACAAAATTGCCAACACTTCATGTTGGTATAAGGAGCCGGTGTGGGTGGAGCGTTCCACTAAATAAAAATCTGAATTAAAGGGGCTGGAGAGATGGCTCAGCGGTCAAGAGCACTGTCTGCTCTCCTTCCCTGCACTCACACGGCGGCTCACAACCGTCTGCTGAGATGCACTGCTGTCTTCTAGCCTGCAGACATATGCTGACAAGGCACCCATAGACACGAGTATATTTTCAATACACCCTATGGAATTTCCACTTTATCGACAAGAAAAAGAAGCAACGGTAGGGCTCTACTGGAGCTGGGCATGGGCCCCAACTCCATCTTTACAAGCTGAGTGACTGTGGACATATTACCTTAGTCTGAGACTCAGTTCTTTCACTATTAGGTGTGTCTCAAAGGAGGAGTAAGGCCAACAGTAGGGAGCGGATGCTCATGAACTACACTCACTCGGCACATAGCAACAGTCCTGCATCACATGCCCTGCACATAGCAACAGTCCTGCCTCATTCACTTGGCACACAGCAACAGTCGTGCACCACTCACTCAGCACACAGCAACAGCCCTGCATCACTCACTCGGCACATAGCAACAGTTGTGCATCAGTGCATCACTCGCTCGGCACATAGCAACAGTCCTGCATCACTCACTCAGCACATAGCAACAGTCCTGCATCACTCAGCACACAGCAACAGTCCTGCATCATTCACTCAGCACATAGCAACAGCCGTGCATCACTCACTCGGCACATAGCAACAGCCGTGCATCACTCACTCAGTACATGGCAAGTCCTGCATTACTCACTCAGCACACGGCAACAGCCGTGCATCACTCACTCGGCACACAGCAACAGCCGTGCATCACCCACTCGGCACACAGCAACAGCCGTGCATCACTCACTCGGCACATAGCAACAGTTGTGCATCACTCACTCAGCACATAGCAACAGCCCTGCATCACTCACTCGGCACATAGCAACAGTTGTGCATCACTCACTCAGCACATAGCAACAGCCGTGCATCACTCACTCAGCACATAGCAACAGCCCTGCATCACTCACTCAGCACATGGCAAGTCCTGCATTACTCACTCAGCACATGGCAACAGTTGTGCATCACTCACTCGGCACATAGCAACAGCCGTGCATCACTCACTCGGCACATAGCAACAGCCCTGCATCACTCACTCGGCACATAGCAACAGCCGTGCATCACTCACTCAGCACATGGCAAGTCCTGCATTACTCACTCAGCACATGGCAACAGTTGTGCATCACTCACTCGGCACATAGCAACAGCCCTGCATCACGTGCACTGCACACAGAGATGTAAATGGTAGTAAGGCCCAGGACACTGCACCCTTCCTGTGTCCCATCCGCTGCTCTTGGGAACTTGCCCTTAGCAGTGACCAGGCAGGAAACTGACACACCGATGACAGGCTGAAAGGGAAGGGAAGGCCGGCATGGGTGACATGCTGGTGAGATGGTGTAAGGACTCAGGCATCACGCTGGCCCGCCCCTGTCACCTGGCAGAATGCACTCAGGCAGAGCCCTGGTCAGCCCAAGTGCAAAGGACCCTTTAAAGAAAGACCCTGCCCACGTATGCTGTCTCCCCCTCTTTCCTGCTGCTCCCATGGGGCAGACAGGATTACTGCCTCTGTCTTCTCTTTTGTCCTCTCTCGGTCTCTGTCTTTTTATATCTTTTCTCCCCCTCTTCCCTTTCTAATAAAAACGCCTCACTAAGCTCTGTCTGTCTGGTGTGTTTGTCCCTCCGCCTCGGTCACCCTCGACTTCCATGGACTCCGCCAAGGTTCGCCACACCTCACCATAACAGATGGGAAGCAGACAGCCCTCCGCCAGGAAGAGCATTTAGGTAGACTTTACATGGGAGAGCTCTCACACTCAGACTGTGGGAGTCCTGAGCAACATCAACTTTAACACGTTTCCAGGCAATGGCGGGCTTTGTGAATAAAAAGAACAAGGACTGAGGAATAAACAGCAGGTCTAGGCACTGTTTCTTTTTCTGTCACACACTAGCAGCCTAGCATGGTTCCGCCTACCTGGTTTCCACAGCTTTTAAATCAAATTATCGATCTCCCTAATCTAATCCAAATCTAAAATTCTACATATCTAGTCATTTCAAGGAGTGCATTACCTAAAAATGCCCACTAAGTATTTGTACACCGATTTATTGGCTTGTAGCCAGTAAGTCAAACGAAAGGAAAGAACTCTATGTACTTACTCTTAATCGGGGACACCTCGATTTGGCCAGCACTCCCATGAATATGTCTGGAGCCTTAAATTCTTGGAGAAATAAAGCCACATCCTACAAACAAAAATGGTCAGCAATTTAGACGCTGCACCCCGCTCACGCTCCGTAGCTCAGACAACCCTAAGAGTTTAGTTTCATGTTTTCTTCCTTTCATCTACAAGGGAAGAATCAAAGATCAGGGACCGCGTCATAAAGAAGAAAGAAAGCCATCGAGCGGTGGCGCGCGCCTTTAATCCCAGCACTTGGGAGGCAGAGACAGGTGGATCTCTGTATGTTCAAGGCTCGCCTGGTCTACAGAATGGGTTCCAGGGCAGTCAGAACCTTATAGAGAAACCCTGCCCTGAAGAAACAAAACAAATCAAAAGAAAAAAAAAAAAAAAAAAAAAGCCCAACCAAACAAAAAGGAACATAGGAGCCTTTGTGGTACTTGATCCCAAGACAGTAGAATAATCAATCCCACAAACAAATCTAACCCTGACTGTGACACACCATAGGATAACCCTCCTTTTATTCTGCACTGAATAAATTTTTTTTCCTGTCCTCCCAGAATTCTAATTAATTTATCCAAAGATATTTGCTGACTGCCAGATATTAAATTCGAAGCTGGGGGTGAGACAGGGGTATGGTATGGAGAAAGAGTCAACTCCTAAATCCTACCCTGTAAGAACCTAAAATTGAGATAAGTGTGGCAGAAAAACAGAACAAACAAACAAAAAAATCTGATCACAAAGTAACTACAACAGACTGGAACTTTTTCTCCCTTGAGATTCCGTTCTACCCACATCACCTAAAGGGGCACATGCCGTAGGTGAACCTGGAGTGGACATTTGACCCCAGAGAGATGGCTCTCACCTAAGAATACAAGGTATAAAAGCTAAATCTGTTAGTTAGCTAAATCTGCCTATTATAAAACATACAACACATAATACGATTTCAGTCAATGATGACTATGTATGTATGTATGTGTATCAGTGGCCTCATGAAATTATACTGCCTAGTGATGTCATAGCTATCTTAGTTCACATTTATGTTAAATACACTATGATGTCCATAGGATGTATATCTGTTCAAGGCACAATTTTAACATTAATAGCTGCTGGGACTTCTTACCCTAAACCACAAAGTGGACTGACAGTAGGAACTGAATCAGGCCTTTTCTCTAACAGTGAAGGAATGAATCTTTTAAAAAACCTCCTCACTCTTGAGTCAGAGTCTCATTTCCATCCTCATACCTCATCCATGGACATATCCCAGACTCTGCAGATTTCATTCTCCATTTCTTCAGCAAGCTCCGTCTGTTGCTCATCAGCATCATCGTCCGAGCTGGGCTTGTCACTTTCAGGTGTGACAATCTTCAGAAACATAAAGAAAAAAGACCAGTTAAATTACTCAGAGTTCTTCAAGGAATATTGCCACTTATATCTCCAAGAGAGTATCCCCAAAGTATTTCTTCTGGCAAAACTGTCTCTAAAACTTAGTAACTTGGATAGATGTGAGCATTCAATATCCTTGGAGTAAATACATGCTGTAGACAGTGCAACAGAAAAACACAGAATGACAACAATACAACCTTTAGCTTTCAAGTGATTTAGTGTAGGAAAGACATATAAACAGCCACGATAGAAAAGGCGGACTTAGCTGAACTGGCAAGCAGAGCTATGATAGGAAAAATGAAGGGCCAATGACCCATTCCTTGGAGAAGAAAGACATTTCCCTTAAAAGAAGAAAGTGAAATCTTATGGGAAGAAGGGTAGGACTCAGTGCTGGGAAAATAAGATAAGCAACAGGGGTGAGTACAAGAGTTCAGCAAGCATAGTACATGTTTGGAGATGGCCAACAGCCTACTGGTGATGGAATGTAAGGTACACTGAGGCTGAAGAGAGTGCAACCAGCCTTGGATCCCCAGTTAAGAAATAAAAAAGTTTTCCCTTATGAGCAACAACACCACCCTTTAAAAATAATAAAAAGGAATACTGTTTTCATCAATATGTAGAAAATGGCTCCGGAAAAAAAAAAACAAAACAAAAGCAAAAAAGCAAAACAAACCCAATCCCCACCCCACCCCAAACCAAAACAGGAATAGGCAGCATGGAAGGCAGTGTGCCGAAAAATCTACTGACTGCCTCCTATAAACCAAACGCCATTTCAAACACTCTATCCACACAGCAGCCTCGGGTACGACAATCCTGGTTACCGCGTTTTCTAGAAACGGCGAAAGAAACCGAGGCTCTGGGTTAACCAGTCTCGCTTCCAGCATGGGATGAGCTTGCGGCTCAGAGATCAAGGCTGTCCGACTGTTAACAAGAGCCGACGAAACAGGAGCGGTACAGTCTCGACTTCAGAGGTGACAATGGGGTTGGGGAACGAAATCCGAGCGAAGTACGTGCGTGCGTGGTGGAGTTCTGCGAAGTTAGGAGCTGGCACCCGCGATCCTCCAGCACCCCATGCGCGCCCTCCCGTGCCCGGGGCGCCTGCGCGAGTCTCCGCACCTGGATGAGCCCGCTGAGGACGCCGAAGAGCCAGTGCTTGCTGTAGACCGTACTCCCAATGCAGTCTCCCCCGGCCAAGTCCTCCTCGCCCTCCGGGTCGCAGCTGGGCGGCGGGGGCGACGGGTTGCGGTCCATTCTGGCGCCCAGGAGCGCGCCGGAAGCCCCGGGGGAGGCGAGAGGACGTGCCAGAGAGCCCGGCTCGCCCGGCTCGCCCGGTGCCGTTTGCCTACATCGCCCCCTGCCGGCGGACTCCCGAATAACCCGGGAACCTGTAGAAAGGGCGGGGATCTCTCCCAACCTGTCCACCCAGGGGATGCTCAGTAAGTAATACCTTTGTCTGGAACGAAGATGGGGAAACAGGCTTCTCAGCCAAGGAGGAGGGAGGGGGAGGGGAGGAGGAGAACTTTGAAAGGTTTTACATCTAGAAGAAATGTAAAGGACCTTTTATGGTCTCAGAGATAAGGGAGGGCTTTCCTAAAATACACAGAAGCCTAATGAGAGAAACTGCGCATTCCTCAGACTGGGGTCTTAAGAGCACTCACGGTCTTACAGAGGATCCGGTTTTAGTTCCCAGCATACATGTACAACTCTCTGTACATACACACCACACACACACTCACACACACACACACACACACCATACACACACACACCACACCATACACACACACACCACACCATACACACACACACCACACCATACACACACACACCACACCATACACACACACACACACATACATACACAGACACACACACACCACACACACACTCACACACACACACACAGGAGAAGCACATACAAATAAATTAACTGCTACCTTTCTCACTATCATTCTATAACGATAAGATGTAAAAGCCTCAGTGGACATGGTGGCTCACACCTTAGCACCCGAGAGGCTGAGGAAGGGGATTGTCACAAATTTAAGGCAGTCGGCTTCACAGTGATACCGTCTTCAGATTGGGGAACATTAATCTATGAATAATGTATGCTCAGTATCAAGGATAACAAAATCTTATGTAACAAATAAATCAGTAAGAAAGAGATAACTCTTTAAGAAAACAGTCAGAGCCAGGTAGTAGTGGCGCACGCCTTTGATCCCAGCACTTGGAAGGAAAAGGCAGGCAGATCTCTATGAGTTCGAGGACAGCCTGGTCTACAAAGAGTTCCAGGACAAGTAAAGCCACACAGGGAACCCGGGGAGAGAGAGAGAGAGAGAGAGAGAGAGAGAGAGAGAGAGAGAGAGAGAGAGAGAGAGAGAGAAAGAAAACAGGCCCAGACCCTGACAGCTTCCAACGTCATCCACTGTATAGCCAACACCCAAGTCGTGCTGTGGGAGGGGCTTACTGTGTATGCCACATGCACTCATGATCAGATGGAGGATGGCAGGCTCGTGGAACAGCTCACTTCCTCCAGAAGTGCAGGCAGATTTGATCAATGCTGTCATAGGGCTCAGTGGCAGTGGCCCTGCCTATGCTTAAGCCCAGGCTACTCTAACTGATGATGATATAAATATGGGACTTTCGAGGTGACTGGCAGGCTGCCTTGAGGCCCAGGCTCTCCTGGGGGCAGCCAAGATACTACTAGTTTCAGTACAGCATCCTTCACAGCTCAAGGATAATGTGTGCTCTCCTAGTAGGGCCACAATCATGCTTTTCATGTGCTGGGAAGTGGAGGCTTTTTGCTCCCTGCTTCTCAATCCTGTGGAGGCCTCCTGGATTGCATGTGGGAGCTGCACAACTTGCCTGTCCAGGAATCTGTCTCATCTGCTGCCTTCATAAACACTATACTGGACAAGGTGAAACTATCTATCTATCTATCTATCTATCTATCTATCTATCTATCTATCATCTATCATCTATCTATCTACCTATCTATCTTGGATACAAGCTACTTTATGTCTCAGGGAAGGGGAGAGTGAGAGATATAAGAACCATAGGACTAAACCACTGAAGCCAGGAAGTGACCATCATGAGACCAGAATTTGAGGAGGCAGCTAATGAAAGAGTACATAGCTGCCTAGACTGAAAAGGACTACCCGAGCCAGCGTGACCCAGGAGAGGGTGCGGTTTGGTAAAGAAACATCATGGAATAACACAACTCCAATTTCCAAGATTTGAGAATCTTCAGGGATTGTATAAAGGCAGCAGCAGCCCCAGGCTGTACCTCAAGCCTGGAGCTGGTTACTGATGGAATCAGTCCACCATACATCAGTGTACTTTTGCTTTTTGATAATTTCTCTCAGGTTGTGGGGAAGGAGGTGCTAGAGATTTCCTGAACCAGAGAAGATGGTTGCAGAGTATTCCATCTTCTCTCCAGAACTATTTCTACAAAATGGGAGGGCTTTGCCTTTTTGAATCTTTTAAAGCAATTACTGGATTGTTTTGATTTTGTCTTTAGTCTTTTTTAGTTATATTTTGTTAAGTAAGAATTTATTGACGTTTCATGGGAAGTGGATGGGGATGGAAGCTAGGGCCTCATGCATGCTAGGTAATCCCTCTGTCATTAGGCTACATCCTCAGCCCAGAATGTGTTGAGTTTTATCTAGTGTTCAACTAGATAATCAAAATCATAGACAGGGCTTTCATGCTATCTGCCTGTCGTTGATGGGATACATAATACACGTTTTGGCCCATCTACAGACATTTACAGTTATATTCCAATCCGTATCTTTTAATTTCTCTTTCTTTAAACAAACAAAACCAAAACCAAAAACAGTGGTCTTTTTTGGTCATTCCCATGGCCCATAATCCTCATTACAACTGCCCTGTGCTCTTTCAAAATAACAGTGACACGTGGCATTTCACAAGTATTTATTTAGTATTTTGGGGTGCTTGGACACCCAGATTTTAGGAACTAACTCAATTCAGCAGTTGCCTCTTTCCTTGGGGGCTGCATGGCTGGGAAGAACATGAAGACAGAACTCAGTATTTACTAGGCAGGCCAGCAGGTCGGAAGTGGTTGGGGTCTTTACCACTCCGGCCCCATTCGTTGGCAAACTGGTCAGCTCTTGAGTCTTCTGCTCCACGTCCTGTGAACCTCTGAATGCCCTCTCTGGCATCACTGTAATCAAGACAGGCAAGAAGAGCCATGAGCAAACTGGAGGCAGGAGCCCCATCCTCTGCACCCCTCTCTCCCAGAGATGGCTGTGAGAGGAGCCCGGGAAAGGCAGGGAAGGAGAGGCTGGTACTGATGCTGTCTGAGTGGGCGCCTGCTCAGTGCAGGATGTCACCCTCATGCTGATCGAGCAGCCCCAGGGGAGAGAGGATGGGTCAGGCGTTGCTGCCAGCCACTCCCAGTACTAAGCACAGGAAAGAGGAAGGTTAACAGGCAGTGTGCACGGGATGCAGAGAACAGCCCCCTCCTGACTGTCCAAAGCACTCAAACTCCGCTCACAGAGACCTCTGTTACCTGATCACTTTAGCAGCCCAGGCTCCTCCTGGGCCTCTTTGGGCAGCATCATAGTTTCCCCGGGCATGGAAGTATTTATCTGAATTTTTCCAATTGGCCTCTCTCATGTCAGAGTAAGCTCTCCACATGTCTCTAGTCCCTGGAGGGGGAAGAGAATGATGAGGAAGATTGTGTTAAAGCAAACCAGAGGGTTAAAACTTCCAACTCAGTTTAGTGATTCAAGCTTTCACAAGCCTGCAGAAATGTCGCCGGCTCGAATGAATAGTTCTTACTTCCCCTTGTGTGTGGAGGAGGAGAGCATCGGAGCGAGGTTTATTCTGATGATTTCCTGCCTTACTCCGTTGTTGGTGGTCTTGGAATGCTCAAACTCATACTGAGGAGAAGAGATCTCTAGGGGATATTTCACCATACCATGATGAAACTCTCTGTAAAGGTCCGGGGATACTTCTGTCTAAGGCGTGAGACATGAGGCCTCTTCCCTTCCTCCTCTCCCCTTCCTTCTTATGCCATTCCTTTCCTTTCTCCTGTGTTCTCTTCCTTTAGAGATAGCATGCATCTCTATATAACTCTGTACAGCATGAGCCTCACAATCCTCCTGCCTCAGTCTCCCATGCGATACAATCTCCACTGCGGCCACAGCTCTCTACTAACACAGGTAATGGAGCAACTGCTCTCCAGGCAGACTGAGTGCAGTTTTGTCCTGCGCCCACGGAATGTCCAGGGTCTATTTCAACATGAGCAGTTCTCAGCACAGTTCGCTGAACTCCATCAGCAGAAGACAACAGTGAGTTCTCTGATACCGACTAAGACAGCTGGATGACCAGAGACTTCAGGCAGCAAAGGACACACTAGCTTTATAACTCTCTGTGCTCTCCAGAGCAGGGAAGAGTAGCAGGCACCTTGGTGATTATACAGGGGGAAAAAAAGGAGAAAATGCACATGGGACGTTCATGGTCGATACTCAGTTTATGGTCATCTCACTTCTCTGCCCACCAGGACGGTGCCACAAACAGCAAAAGTTCTAAACTAAGGAAGAAATGGTGAGCCCTGCAGTGAAGGAATCAGACCCAGCCTGCATTAAAAAGGAAATATCTTTAAATGTAAGGAGTTAGCAGAACAGAGGAAGCCCGCTACTACCTCGGTTCATTTAATTTTTATCCTGTGGTGGCTGGTGGGAGGTGTTTCCCTTGGTGACAGTTGCTACTTCATGTCCCGGCCCCAGCAGGCCTATATTCCAGGTAACTAAGTCATTACCTTCTGTGGGTGTGGAGGATCTGAGCTTTCCTCACGGGCAGCTGCCTTCCCTAACCCATGGCCTGCTGCTTCTCAGGTAAACAGTGAGTGTGTGCGCATCAAGTCCTCTCTCTGTTCTGGGAGCTGTGTAGTGGATTCCAAGGAGTTGGACAACCTGGGGTAGCCTCTGTTTTTCTGGGGTTTTATTACATAGCTTATGTATGCTCTGTGCCTTGGCTTCCTTAAAAGGTAGACGTGGCACCTACACCACAAGATTAATTTATCTCCACACACAATGCTTTTCATTGCTCTGTTGGTCTTGGCTGCTGTCACTGTGGATTGGGGACTACAACAGGTTCTCCTTTGCCTGGCCTGGAACACTCTACACTTGGGATGCACTTCATTTCACAGCACCAGACAAGGATGTGAGCTGTTCATCATCCTCCACACGGGGGCAGTAGATGCCCTCTTTGGCTGTTGAATCTGTATCTTTCAAGTACAGATTGTTCCTACATTCCTGTGGGG